AATATAATATAATATAATATAATATAATATAATATAATATAATATAACATAACATAACATAACTTTAATCCCAGCACTTAGGAGGCAGAGGCAGGCAGATCTCTGAGCTCCTGGCCAGCCTGCTCTACATAGTGAGTTCTAGGGCAGCCAGGGCTATGCAGAGAAACACTATCTCAAAATATTAAAAATAATAATTATATATGTACACACACACGGAAAGCTAGAGCATAGCTCAATAGTAGAGTGCTTACTTAGCACACACACAAGTGTGGAAATAAGGCACAGAATAAACAGAAAAGTTCCACAATTTGAAAATCACAGTTTATTTTATTATTATAATCTACTTTAAATCTGGTATCCTGAGCCCTTTTTTACAGTCTAGCTGTTCTGAGACCCAAGGGTTAGCTGTCTAACCCTTCTTCTTCTACCTTCTACCTTTTCCCCCCTCTTTGGTTATTCTACGAAAATATCCTGGGGTCAGTTAATCTCCCCACCAACCTTCCCATTCAGGCCCTCGGGACTCCATAGTACATACATGGTACCCAGACACATGCAGGCAAAACACACACACATAAAAACAATTTAAAAAAATTAAAGATCACGTTTCTCACAAGACAGCTCTGCATACATCTGAACTCCAAGACACTGTCCTTTCCTCCCAGCTATCTCCTGAAACGTAGGATTGTTAGCATCACTTGAGTTCATGTGCAGGCCAGACATGCTGCTCTGCAGTTCAGTGCGTTTTCTCACCACGACTGTATGCAGCCCCATTAGGCAGGTACCACATACTCTGCAGGGTGCCAGAGGAGAGGAGAGGCTGGCAACAAAGACCACAGAGCTATGCTGTCTCCTCGGCTTCCAGCCCTCTGCTCCTGCTGGTCGCTGGTCGCCTGACCTTCCCTGTAGACAGGAAACCACTCCAGGTGGCTCTTTAATGAGTTACCTGGAGGGGACTAAGATTAGATTGGAAAGAAGGCCTCTGCAGATAGCCGGGTGCGGGTGCACACCTGTGATCCCAGCACTCAGGGAGGCAGAGGCAGGTGGATCACTGTGAGTTCAAGGCCAGCCTGTTCTACAAAACGAGTCCAGGACAGCCAGGGCTACTCAGAGAAACCCTGTCTTGGATAAATAGATAGATAGATAGATAGATAGATAGATAGATAGATAAATAAATAAATAAGCAAGCAAGCAAGCAGGCAAGCCTCTGCGGTCTTCAGGGACCAGCAGAGGTGAAGGCACACCACTGCCTTCAGGCTGCTGCCCACTTTCTCGTTTTGGTGAGGATGAGAGGTCTACCCAGAATGATGTCACTTCTGGGGTGCCTACTACGAAAGACACAGAAACACACACCAGGACACATGCCCTTTGAGGATCAAAAGCACTGGCAACACTGGAGTACAAATTCAAACGTGAATCCCAGAAAAGAAGAAAGGAGAAAAGAAAGTGGGGGGGGGGGGGGGCAAAAGGTTGAATTCACGGCTGGCATTTTTTTTTTTTTCAAGGAATTGAGCCAGGATGGAATCCACACCCCAGCAAACAGCATGCCCTAGTGGTCTCATCAGGAAGTGCTACAAATGGAATCTTTTCCCCAGCCTTGCTAGCCAGCTCTTTCTCTCCAACCAGGCACAAGAGGCTGCCATTCATGGAGACGTCCCCTCTTTTCTCAACCACTGCCTAGCACCAAAGGCAAGAGGGCACCACCTCTGGCAGCTCACATTTCTCCCCGAGACCCTGGCTCTCAGTGTACCGCGTCCACGGTTCAGAGAGCCTGGGAAAGCAGCATCCCCTGGGCGCTCCTGAAGGCTGCGCAGAGGCCGCCATAGCCCTGGTCGTCTTTTCCTTCCTTTTGGTGTGCTCATCTTTGGCTATTCTAGAAAAATACGCTCATCCTTCAGCCTACGGTAGGTTCCAAGCCAGGGTTTCCAGGGAGCAGGCAGCAGGGCCCCAGGCATGGAGTGCCTGACAGCGCAGCCTACCAGCGTGGAACTACCATGCTTCTGACCGCAACACTGAAATGCCCTCCCTCCCTCCAGGAGCCTGCACATGATTGAGTCTTGACTCCCCAGCCACGCGCAGTGAGCTACTGTGAGGACACGCTCTCTCCCCAAGAGACCCCAGGACTTCTCTTCTGCCCTTTAGCTGGTCTGTGTTGCCTCCCTTAACGACAGAAACAAAACAGACACAAATTGGTGTAGTTGGATCCCTCATCACCTCACCAGAGCTGCCCAGCCCCTCCCTCTCCAGTGCTCCATTTGTTTTTCTATATTCCACTATAGCTAAGACCGTCCCTTTAAAAAAAAAAAAAAAAAAAAAAAAAAGTGAATTTAAAAAAAGAAACTGTTTACTGCTCTGACCAGGGCTTCCATTAACTAAAAGCTCAAGTCATGGGAGCGAAGGTTCTACCTAGATACAGCCAGGGCTAGGGGCCAAAAAAATATGGTTTTTCGTCTCTCCTTGATCAAATTTTCAGGCACTCCATCCTCCTCCTGTGCTGCCCCACACAAGCACTTTCCCTGCTTCCCCGCCTCTTACCTGTCTGGAGACCTTTGGGCAAGTGAAGGGGGAGTTATCAGCACACTGGGGTGAGGGGTGGCAGTTAAGAGAATCAGGGGTGTGACTTCAGCAGCTGTTGACTCTGACGAGCAGAAAAGGCAGAGGGTGACTAGGACCGAAATGGAAAACAGGAAAACACATGTGCGACTCTAGCCGGCGGTGGGGAGGGGCCAGAGGACGGGCGGGCTGGAGCTGAGACTGCCTGGTCAGACCGGGAAGACCTCGCAGCCTGCCAGCGCCCGGCACCCCGGCGGCACCCCGGATCGGCTCTCTCCGGCTCCTCCTCCTCACCTCAGCCTTGGGTCTTCCTGGTTGCCTCAGCTTGCTGAGTATTTAAGTGTATCCTGCGCGATCTGAAGTGCCTCCTGATCCCCTCTGCCTCTCCCTCATGCTCCTCAAAGCTCCCACCCTACCTCCAGGCTGTGCTTACCGAATTGGATGGCGTGTGCTCACCACTAGGCCTGTGAGATGGGCGGTCCTGCCTCAAGAGTTTGTGCCATTTCAGCCCCTCAAACAAACCAAGGAAGCCAATGCATACCACTGAAGGCCACCTGTGGGTACAGACAAGTATGTGCCCAGATGTCACAGGCTCAGCTCTCTGTTTGGCTGAGTAGTTGTCAACAACGAGTCTGTAATGAGCCTGCAAGACAGCAGAGCTGTCAGGAGCAAAGTTGAGAGACATTTTTGGTGACAGTGACTAGGCAACGCCCCTAAGACATTGAGAGCTTGTAAGGCAGCAGAGCTGTCAAAGATAGATAAGAAGATATTCATAGTAATAGTAATTAAGAACACTCTTAAGGCAGTTGTGTGCGTGCCTGTGAAAGAATGATAAGTTAAAGCTATGCCCTGAAAAATGTATAAAAACTGGAGCCTGAGCCCACTTGGGTGCGGCAGGCCAGACTCTTTGGTGAGTATGCCGAAAGACCGCTACTAACCAGCCAATTCCCGAACAGCTGCTTGAAAAGCACAGACCACCTTAACAAACCAGTTTTGAAAGGACCACCTTATCAGACCAGCCATGGAAGGCGGTTCCCAAGAAACCGCAGCTTCCTTTGCATCTGAGGCCTGGCCAGAGCAGAGAAGCTCCAAGGCCTATCAAGTCATCAGAAGATGCATCTGAGGTCGGGCTGGAACTGAGAAGTTCCATGACCTAGAAGACAGCCGAAGCTAGAGGCAAAGTGTCCGAGCCCGTACCTGTGGCCAGATTGCATTCCCCATAAGATGTATAATGAGCTAGGCAACTGTTAGATATTTGTGTGATTTGTGTGATTAAAGCAGCATTCAAAAATCATTCTGGCATTGGCTTTTATCAATACCTTGCCGCCCTTTGTGGCGTCTCAGTTAAAATCCTCTGGCATAATTAAGCACTCGTGACAGAATCTGAGTTGCTATGTAAAAACCAAGCAGGCCGGTGCCACCCAGGGCACATTCCTAAGTTGGCAGCCTTTCAAACCACTGTTATTTAAATATCTGTGACCCTGGACTAAAAGCAGGAGAGGCTGGGATGTTTCTGCAGGTAGAAGTGCTTGCCTTCAAAACCTGGCCAGCTGATCTAAGCCCGGGAACCCACGGGGGCAGGGGAGGTTGTCCTCTGGCCAGGGCTTTACCCCTTCGGTGCCACCACTCTGGAAGCAGAGGCAGGCAGACTTCTGGGAGTTCCTGGGAGTTTGGACCCAGACTGGTTTACAGAGTGAGTTGCAGGACAGAACAGACAGGGAATACATAGAAAGATCTTGTCTCAGAAAAAAAAAAAAAAAGCGAAGCTGTCCTCTGGCCTCCACACATGCACTATGGCGTGTGAACACCTGTACACACACACATGCACACACACGTACACACACTAAGAAGGAATGTTTAAAAATGATATGAGTCTCTTTATAGTCAGAATTAGAGATGTCATCTTCAGAAGGTACTTCCCGGTAGTCATATTAAACCACTGAAAATGCTGACAGTATAAATCTCTGTCCAGGGGAGTGGCGCTTCACAGCACAAGGAGCTTTTGCACCAGCCAAGTGCGACTGTGGCCTTCAGGCGGCCATCAGTTTGCTGGCTTCCAGCCCACACCCTGCAGCTTGCACCTGCTTTCTGCAAATTACTCCAGGCAAGGTCCAGGTAAGGACTCAGGAGCTCTGACGGGGACTACAGGGGTGGCACGCACTGCTGCTGTTCCTAACCGCCTTTCACGCCAGGGCAATCTGACACCCTCTTCTGGCCTCTACAGGCACCTGCATTTGACTGCAGTGCTCCCACACAACACGTATACACACATAAAAGTAAGGAAATAAATGTTAAAGAGAATCCGGACTGCATCACCGGATGGGAGCCAAGTTACATGTTACCAAAAGGCAGAGATAATCGGAATTCACTGGCACCAAGTCAGAACTATTCCAAGGAAAATGTGATGGCCTTTTGATCCAGGCTGCTTCCCGGCTGACCTGCCCTTTAATCTCACTCTGGGGATGAGTCTGGGTTGTCAGCGAGGGATGTTCATGGGAAGAGAGACAGAGCTGTGCCTGCTTTCCCTCACGGAAGAACGAAGAACGGCCTCTCTGCTGGGACCACAAACAACCTCACTCCCACCACAGAGCTTTCGCACTGTCTGTCTGAGTGCTCTCCCTGCTGGGAGCATTCTTCTCCGGGACATCTTTCATTCCTGGTTTTATTTGCTGGCCATTACCTCAGCCGACAGAAGATAAGCATCATAAAAGCTGTTTGCACTGTTGTACCCTGAGGAGGCAGTGGGGGAACCTCACACAATCCGCCAGTGGATGTTTGCTGGATAAATGAGTCAGAAAATGAACAATACTGTTTCCCTCCAACAGCCCAGAAGGCTGGGCTCCTGGGGTGGGGGGAGAGTCTTCGAATTAGCCCTTCAGGCCACCTCGTGTCACTCCTCTAGGTCACTTAGAGCAAGGAAAATTGGAACATACTTAATCTTTTCCATGTTAACAAGTTTAAGGGAAAGAGTGTGGTTTTCTTTTTCACAGACAAGCCTAAAACAGTTTGAAATGAACTTTTAGGGCTTGGTGGCACAGCACTTACCTAGCAAGCACAAGACCCTGGGCTCCATCTCCAATGGCTGGTGTGGGTGGAAGTACAAGAATTTCAGGGCTAGGCATGGTAGTTCATGTGGAGCCAGGAGGATCTGGAGTTCAAGGCCAGCCTCAATACATAGAGTCTCAGGCTAGCCTAGACTACAAACAAAACAAAAAATAAATAAATAAATGACCTGTTTCCAGAAAGAGAAAATAAAGGGAAAAGGAAAGGAGGGTGGAGGAGGGAAGGACTGGAGAGATGGTTCCCTGAGTGAGATTAGCTAAGTAGATAAAATCAATGGTAGCCCAGGCAGGCAGGACCTGAGTTCACCCTCAAAAAAAGGGTGGAGACAGATTGCTGAGTCTTGCGGGCTGCCGGCCTAGCTCCAGATTGGGTGAGATTCATTGTCTCAAGGGGATACACAGTGATCGAGTGCACAGACCCTGCATCCTGACTCAGGTGTGCAAAGGCACAAGCACCCCAACACACACACACACACAGACACACACAGACACACACACACACACCACTCAGCATGCAGGTACACCAGCAATGATATTGGAATTTTGTCTAGCTAGTGGAAACACTAAAACACTCTTTCCTGGGGACTCCATCGAGAAGTGGCCCATCCCCCTCCACCCAGCCGGCTCACCTTTGCCTCTCTCCCACGCTCCCTCCCAAACACTCTCCTTTCACTGGGGGCCCCGCCGGCACCTCCCTTTGGTTGGGTCTTCTTCTTGGTCAGCAGCGCTAAAATCTAGGCCGCTCGAGACCAGACCTAGACACAATCGCCCTCGATGTCCTGGAATGGGCAGGAGCCAACCGCGGCTCTGCCGGAGGAGAGGTGGGGTGGAGACCAGGACCACGCCCCCCCTCCCCCCAGCCTGCCCGCAGTCCTTTCCCGTTTATCTAAGAGGCTCTGGAATAAGGAATTGTGGTGAATGAGAGCGAAGGAAGCAGAGGCCTTGCAAGCCGTCCCTCAGCCCGGCCCTGCGCCTGCACTAGGAGTCCCCAGGGAATGAAAACGCCCGCGGATACCCTTAGAGACGTGTTCTCTGCCCCGGGCACACTCAGCTTCCTCTTCCCTCCCTCCCAATCTAGCCTGAGCTGTCAGACAGTGGTCTGACCAAAAACCCCAATCTTAGACAGTCCCTGCCTCCAACCGAGGAGCTGGCTAAAGCTCGGGAGGAACCTTGGCCGGGAAGCCCCGGGGGCGCGGGGGACAGGGGCGGGGCCTGCTTGCAGCCAGGGGGCGGGGTCTCCCGGACTTTATCTCTGCCTGCCTGTGTTCAGACTCCCCGCCCCCTCGGGGGCACTGTTGCATCAGCTTCTAGGTCCTAAATTAAAGAAAGAGGCCACGGTGTCCCGAGTAGTCACCAGGAGGCAGCACTTAACCAAATATAGCGGCCTCAAGGGAGCCTCGAAGGCTGACCTTTCCCTGGGCACCTTTCACCAGACAGACATCTACAGCTGGCACGCGCTTCTAATCCCAGCACTCAGGAGGTGAAGACACGAGCATCCGAAGGTCAGAGTCATCCTTCTGGCTACATAGCGTGTTGAAAGCCCTCCATTCTCAAGAAATAAGAACGAGGAAAAAAAAAAAAAGGGGGGTTTTGAAAGACCATAGATACAGCTTGCGTGTATGTGTGTGTGCTGTTTCTGCTGTTTTTGTGTAAATGCAAGTGCACGCTTACCACGTTGAGTGTGGAGATCAGAAACTTTCAGTAGGCTCAGGGGACTGAACTCAGGTCTGTCAGGTTTTCTCAGCGAGCGCTTTTACCTCCTAAACCATCTCACTGGTGTTGGGACCAATTAATGAATGATGAGGCTCACAACAGATCGCCTATGAAAGAGGTTTATTAGGTGGATATGAAGAGAGGGAGAGAAGGGAGAGCAGGACATGATGGGGAGAAAGGGGGAAGGGCTGATAGAAAAAGAGGCCAGGAGCCAGAGGGAGACCACGTGTCCGGTTGTCCCTTTAAGGGGCAAGGTAATCACGCCTTCTAGGTGTGGCCACCTGGCCAGCGACACATGATGACATCATAAGTTGCTAGGCAACCCAGAAGCAGGTTTTGTTCCAAAAGCCTAACAACTGGTCCCCATAATTTTATTTTTTAAAGAACCTGGAGCAGGGTAGATGAGGGAGGCCTGTAATCCCAGTACTTGTGAGGCTGAGGCAGGAGGATTCTGGAGACCAGCCCGAACTACTTTGTAAGCCCCTGGATCAATAAATAGACTACGAAAGAATGTAGGAATGTTTTGTGTGGCTTACTGCTAAATAGAGGATTATAAATCACATTTCTTGCATAATCCACCCTTGTTTTTTTGGGATAAGGGGTGGGGTCTCACTTTGTAAGTCCTCATTGGCCTAGAACTCACTATGTAGACCAAGCTGACCTCAAAGTAACAATGATCTACTTGCCCTGTTTCCTGGCTGCAGGGATCAAAGGTGTGGCCCTCCATGCCCCATTTTTGGCATTTTTTTAAAAAGCCAACACTGCCTATTTACAGATATCTACCCGCCTCTGAGAACAACCCCATGAAAAGGCACATTATTAGGAGACATCACAGTTGGGGCTGGCTCAGCCTATTGCTCTTGCTGAGGACTGGGGTTCATTTCCCAGCACCCACATGCTGGCTCACAAACCACCTATAACTCCAGTTCCAGGGGATCCAATGCACTCTTCTGATGTCCAAGGACTCAGGCATGTAGATGATACACATACATACACTCAGGCATATGCACACACATATAAAATAAAAATAAGCTGATTTTAAACTTAATAAAAACGGATGTTCCAATGGCTAGGCCAGGAAAGAATGTAGCCTCAAGGTCATAACTAACTTATCTTGAAGCTGGGTCATTCAGTGGGCCTACTACCGATTTAGCAGAAATTTTATAGCTCTGGAAAAGAAGAGAAATAAGTCCCCAGAATTTAATGTAAGTATAAGTAAGTACAATGGCATTGGCATGTGATCCAAGCACTCTGGAGGCAAGGGCAAGAGGATCTCTGTGAGTTCAAGGCCAACCTGCTCTACATAAGAGCCCATCTCAAAAGTGGGGGATCTAGAGAAATAGCTTACCCTTACCCTCATCCCCTCAACCCTACCACCGTGATCCTCCATATTGCCATTGATGCGAGCTTTCGTTCTGCAAGCATCAGAGGGAAAGAACTCAGTTACAAAGCCTCTTCTCGAAGAACTAGTCAGGATTCATGAGTCAAGGTTGTAAGTTCATGTGCCATAATGTCAACAAGCATGTTCTGGTATCTAGTCCATCAAGAACGCTGAACCAAACGCAATTGCTTCCTAGGTTTTTATCCGCACTTCCTGAGCTCCTGAATGGCTGTATGGCGAGATCACAATCCTTGGGAAGAAGGTGTGAGTGCCGTGGGGATGCCCTCAGGTGCCCTCAGGGAGTGCTTTCAGAGCAGGACAGCAAGATCAGCACAAAGCTCACCACCGCCCCTGCGAACAGCTCTGAACCAGCAGACGTTCCTCAGGTCACCCTCCAGCCCATCTGCTCACAGTAGCCTATTGCTCTGTGTTCTCACTACAGTCCTTTGGTTTTCATATTCTCTTCCAAGGCTAATTGGATGGCAAAGTCAAATTTCTGATTATGAATTTTTAAAAAAGTAGCGAAAGGCATCTAATTTCTCAGAGCAATGCTCTTGAGCAAAAGTAATGGTGTTTGGATAACATTAGCCAGGGGTGGGGGAATGAATGCATAACAGAATGCTAAAGCTAAATCTGGGGCCTAATGTCCTTGAAAGACAAAGAAGTCTAGGACAGGAAACAGGATCTCAAACTCAATTTTCACAGCTCTTGATTCCCCTGTTCTCAGATGAAGTACAGAAGACATCCAGTGTGACAAAACCACTTTCCTGTGGTTGACAAGGCTCAATAAGTCATTGAAGAGTGCTGTGCTCAACCGTTCCATAGAGTTCAAAAGTTGGTGGGCTAGAGAGACAGCTCAGCAGTCAAGAGTATGCACTGCTCTTGCAGAAGGCCCAGGTTCACTTCCCAGAATTCACATGGCAGCTCACAACCAGCTGTAACTCCCGTTCCAGGGGATCTGATGCCCTCTTCGGACCTCCAAGGGCTCCTGCCCAGGAATAGTGCACATACATACATACACTCAGAAGCACACAGTCATAAAAATAAATAGACATGTTTTAAAAGAATGATGGCGATGTCAGCAGTCTGTTTTACTTATAGTTTTTTTCAAGACAAGGTTTTTCTGTGTAACCTTGGCTGTCCTGGAACTCACTTTGTAGACTAGGCTGGCCTCAAACTCAGAGATCTGCCTCTGACTCTGAGTGCTGGGATTAAAGGTGTGTACGCCACCACGGCTCAGCTGCAGTCTATTTACAACCCATGGTTTGTACCTCTGCTATATCAAACTAACCATGTCAAAAGCTGGACTGCCTCTCTTTCTCTTCCTTGATCTTGTAGTTCCTATCCTGCCCCCCAAATCCTCCAGCTCTTGATCTATTGGATGACTACACCTGGATTTTATGGTTGTTTTGTTTTGTTTGACTGTGTATCCCGGACTGGCCCAGAATTCACTCTGTAGACCAGGCTGGCATCAACTTCAGAGATCTGCTGCCTCTGTCTCCCAAGAGCTGAGACTAAAAGCTAGTGCTACCACAACATGCCTATCTTTGCATGTTTTATTGTCCATATTATTATTCCTCAAAAGGTATTTCCATCACTTTGAATGATTTTGCCAGCTGATGGTGTTTGTGCAAGATACTCTAAGAGATGCAAGAGTTGCTAGTCCAATTCCCTTATGTACCAAAGGGCTATTATCTGGCTTGTTACTGTAGAATATGGATTCTTATGCTATTCTTCAAGCTTTTGGAGCATAACTGCTCCCTCAGCTGAAAACTTTGGGGTTCCAGTGCTGTCTTGAGGCCGAAGACTTAGCAACACAAATTAGAAAACACTCTCACTCGATCACTCGATCACTGTTCTGATACTAATCAAACCAGGACCTCACACATGGTAAGTGCACAGTCTAGCACTGAGCTACAACACCAACAGTCACATTTTCTTCAATCGCCTGAGCCTTGAAAACGTCAAGAAAGACAATGACTACTCCAAAGCCTTCTTATTTCCTTTGTAGGTTCAATAAGAAAAACATATGAAATTATTTGTGAAGAAGTGGTTTTAAAGATTTTTATTTTATTTGTGTTATTTTTAAGTGTTTATGTGTGTATACACACACACACACACACACACACACACACACACACACACACTTGAGTGCAGGTGCCCTCACAGGCTAGATGGGTAGATGGGTCAGATCTCCTGGAGCAAGATGATTCTGAGGTGCCAGATAAGGGTTCTGAGACTCAAACTCAGGTCCTTTGCAAGAGCTGTAGAAATGTTTTTGAAAAGTAAGGTTGTGGAGGAGGCTGGAGCAATGACTCAATGGTTTAGAGCACTGGCTGCTTCTCTAGAAGAAGCTGGTTTGATTCCTAGCACCCACATGATGTCTCTCAATGATCTGTAATTCCAGTCCAAGGGATCCCATGCCTTCTTCTGGCTCCCATGGACACAAGGCATATACATGGTACACGGACATGCATATAGGTAAAAACACCCATATACATAAATCTTTAAAAAAATAAAAGAGTGATGGTGCTAAGGGGTAAAGATCATACCTATCATGTTCAAGACCCTGGACTATAAAAGAAAAAGAAAAAAAAAAAAAAAAAAAGAATGAATGTAAACTGAAGCCACACCTCTCATTCTAGTTATTTGGGAGACTGAGGCAGGCCACTTTGAGACAGAGTTAAAGCCCAGTTTGAGCAACTTAAGGGGCTCTGTCTCAAATGAAAATATATAATAAAGGATAGTCAGGTATGTTGGCTCTCACATATAATCTCAGCACTCAGGAGGAGGGTCAGGCCAAAATAAAGTAGAAGTAGTAGTACTCTCTGTCTGTGCCTTATTTCTCTTAAACTTTGTAGTCCTATTTTAATTTTTCAGACTCGGTTGGAGGTACCACTGGCTGGCCTTCTATGCACCCTCCTCCCACTTCACAAGTGCACACTTTGTGGCCACACCCTGCTCTCTCTTGTTATGTTTTGTTTTGCTTGGAGGGGTGTGCAGTCTGGGGCACCTAGTTAAGTTTCTTTTGTTCTCGTTCCATCTT